AAACAAAGGTCATTATGAGTCATGATCAAGGTGACATCGCCCAACACCAACAGCAATCCAGAAATGTGTCACAGATCACACCGTCAGGCAATGGTGGTGTCACATCTGGGCTCACGTAATCATGAAACTCCTTCTCTTGATGCTTTTTGCCCCACTGAGATCTCCAGGAGAGGTGGGCGGGGACATGCAGGGACAGAATAGGACTGAGAGCCCAGGCTGTGCGGTCAGCAGGACCCGAGCTCAAGTTCTGCAGCGTCTATTCCTTCTGATGTCTTGGGCAAGCTCATCAATCACTCAGTTCCCTGTTTTCCTTGACTTGAAATGAGAACCACAAAGGTTCTCAGCTTCTAAGAGGGGTTACTTTTAATGAGTCAATGTCTTTGGAGATGATGCCCCAGGGCCAATGCCTGACGAGAGTTTGTTTAATGAGCATTTTTTATTAAACTGAGTGAAACAACTGAAACACTGAATAGGAAACATCTTGTGATATGAAATGAATCAAAAATGAAAAAAAAAATCCAGCACCATTGGGTTGAGTCTGGACTCCTACTGTCTCCCATTGTCTCTCTGAGGCTGTAAATCTTTCCAGAAGGAGACTGCTGGATTCTTCCATCAAATTGCAACTCAAGAAACGTATGTGCATGTGGACAAGCCTAAGAGTTCAGAGGAAGCAAGAGTAGGTAAGTTTGCTGGGAACCCACGCTGGTGGGAAATGGTGTCTCCCATCAATGTGGTTTGTGCAGTACAGAGAGGAGAAGGAGGGGCCCAGGTGGGCAGAGCACCTGCAACGTGCCCTGGTCCAGGACAGCTTTGCACCCTCTCAGCAATCTACTGAGATGGACTCTGATGTGGCCTCCATTTCACAGATGAGAAAGTCAAGGCACAAGGAGGAGGATGACGCCCTGAGTGGATCAGGACTCCAGCCCAGACCTGCCTGCCTCTTCCTCGGCCCGTCGTTTTCCTTGAAGAAAGTCCCATCAGAAGTACATGACGGTGGTTCCTTTGCAGTGCGGCGTGTGCCGGGAGCTGGGGACATCTGGTTTCTGAATCTTAGGACCCCACACCCACCGGCTGAGGGAAGGAGGTGAGGAGCCTGGTGGGGGGCAGAACTGTAAACTCTTTTACAGCCCCTTCACCACCGTTCCACGCAGGCAAACTCATCCAGGCCTCCTCACAGCCCAGGTGGGAACTGAGGACTCAGAGGATGACCAGGGCCAAGGTGAAGTCTTCACCTCCCACCTGCCCTCCCCACAGCCCTGTCTCCTCACACCTGCCCAGCCCCCAGCCCCCCCTCCAGCCTGGGGCCTGCTGCAGCTCTCTGCTCATCGCCTGAAGTGAGGTTGACTACCCTTCCCCAAAGGGGCCAGTGTGGGGGGCAGCTCTGATGGGAGAAGCAGACTTGGCTGCCTAACTGGACTCTGGGGAGGAGAGGTGTTGAGTGCGGCAGGAGGGGACAGGGCCGGTGGAGCTAATGACATTAACAGGTCCTAAGGGCCCACAGGAACTCTGGTGGTGTGGTCTGAAGTGAATTGCTAAGCCATAGGCCCAGTGTCTCCATGGGAGAAAGATGGGCAATCTCCTTCCATGAGATGTGAGGGAGCTCTGGTGGCCTGGTGGATAAAGTGTTGCATTGCCACCTCAGAGGAAGGTGGTTTGAATTCACTGGCTGCTCCGTGGGAGAAACATGGACAATTTCTTCCCATATCATTTACAGCCTCTGAAAACCCACTGGAGGGTCAGCTGTGAGTCAGTCTAACTCGACAGTAGTGAGTTATGAGAAGCACTGAGCTCTCATCCTAAGGTCCTGCGAGGAAAAGAAAATGTGAGACCAGATGCTTGTTCACATGTCCTGTGCACCCTGTTCCCTTCACTCAGGAGACACAGTGTTTCACTGCAGGCAGAGGTGAGTGTGACATTCGCAGCAAGAGCAATGGTTACTGCCATCTGCTGAGGCCTACCATTCTCGGAGCTTGCCCTGACGTGCTCTCTCAGAGGTAGGTACTGTATGTCTCTGATGGAGACAGAGTTATAAAGTTATTTACCCAAACTTTCACAGCATCAGTGGGACCCATGGCCCAAAGTCAGTTCTCAAAACATTGCTGTCCATGAAGAAATGTTCAAAATCCCTAGCTCTAAGAGAGATGCAAATCAAAACAACTATAAAATACCATCTCATTCCAGTCAGAATAGCAAAATTTAACAGAACAGCAAACATCAAGTTCTGGCAAGGTTGCGGAGAAACTGGAACCCTTATTCACTGTTGGTGGGAGTGTAAAATGGTGCAACCTCTATGGAAGGCTGTATGGTGCTTTCTCAAAAATGTTGCAAATAGAAATATCATTTGACCCAGCAATTCCACTACTGGGAATATACACTAAAGAAACCATAACCACCACCCAAGAAGATATATGCACACCCATGTTTATCATGGCTTTGTTCACAATAGTAAAGAGTTGGAAACAACACAAGTGCCCATCAACAAATGAATGGATAGAGAAGCTGTGGTATATTCACACAATGGAATACTATGCAGCATTAAAAAACAAGGAATTCATGAAATATTATACAAAACGGGTGACACTAGAGGACATTATGCTGAGTAAAATATCTCAGTCACAAAAGGACAAATATTGCATGGTGCCATTGTTGTAAAACGGGACTGACATTGGGGTTGAGGGAAGACAGAGAAGGAGGGGATGAATGATGTATACTGCATTGAAAGAGATGAGGGAGAAAACTGTTTAAAAGAGATATATGATTAGGTTCTATTGTCATGACAGGAGTCCAGAATGAAGGCTGCATAGTGGAATAGACTTGGGAGGAGAGATTGTATAAAAGTGAAAGAAGTTTTCTTCTACTTTTCAAAGAAAAGTGCAAATTGGGGGGAGGGGTAGGCAGGGAGAAAAGTTTAACAATGAATGAACGAATGGAAATCCAAAGTCTCTGTGAACTTTTCATTAAAATTAATTTTAAAAGGGTGGGGGGAACAAAACCAAACAAACACTGCTGTCAAGTAGGAAGCAACTCATAGCCGACCTTCTAGCATGTTTTCAGAGGCTACATATCACACTGGGAGCTCCGGTAGCTTGTCGCTGTTATTGTTAGGTATCATCAAATCAATATGACCCTTTGAACAACAGATCTGAACCCTGGCCTATCCTGTGCCATCCACATCACCTCTGCCACCCTTATGCCCATTGCTGCAGTCACCATGTCAATCATCTCATTAAGGGTCTTCTCTTTCACTAACTATTTCACCTTTCCAAGCAAGATGTACCCCTCCAACGAATAGCGTCTCCTAACAACATGCTCAACGTATTTGAGATGAAGCTTCGCTATCCTTACCTCCAAAGAGCACTCTGGCTGCACTTTCCCCTGGACAGATTTCTTTGTTCTTTGACAATCCATGGGATATTCAGTGCTCTTCTCCAGCACCACAGCTCAAAGGCAGCGATTCTTCTTCTATCTTCGTTATTCATTATCCAGCTCTCAGATGCATAGCAAGTGATCAAAAAGACCATGGCCTGAATCAAGCACACATTGCTGACATCATTGTTCCTCAATAATTTGGAGAGGTCCCCAACTGCAGAATTTCCCAGTGCAATACGGCTCCTGATTTCCTGACTGCTGGCACCAAGAGTGTTGATTGTAGATCCAACTAAGATGAAGCTGTTGACAGTTTTTATTTTTTTCTCCATCTATCATGACATTGCCTATCAGGGTGGTGAGGATTTTTGTCTTCTTGATATCGAGATGCAATCCATAGTGAAGGCTGTAGTCTTGATCGTCTACAGCAAGTGTTTCAAGTCCTTTTCACTTTCTTCAAGCAAAGTGTGTTATCTGCATAACTTAGGTTGTTGATGAGTCTTCCTCACGTCCTTATTCCACATTCTTCTTCATAGGATCCAGATTCTCAAATCTGGTGATTTAACAGTAAAGAATTGTGCTGCCAACCCAAAGCTATACGGTTTGAATCCACCAGCTGCTTCACAGGAGAATGAGGGGCAATCTCTGCCAGTGCAACTTACTGCCTCTGAAAAACCACTGGAGGGTCTGCTATGGGTCAGTTCTAACTCGATGGTACACAACAACAGCAACACAACCATACAAGAGGTTGCTCATCTTTCTTCCACAGTACAGTGGACGGATCAGAGCCCACCTGCCTTTGGGTTGACGGTGTAACTTCTTACCCCGATGTTACCAGAACTGAGTTAGCGCCCCTTGTGCTACACATACAAGCTTGACGACTGTGACTCTCCAAATCCCTGCCCATGGCATCACGTGAGGAGCTCGTAAGATATAGATTCCCGAGGTCCCTCTTTGACCTGCTAAATCAGGACAAGGGAGCAAGGGGCCCTGGAAGCTGGGCTTTCCTTGCTATACGTGTTGTTTTTTCTTTATTTTTTTACAAAAGTCCAGGTAAATCTTGCGAATAGATGTGCTCAGGAACCCCTGCAAAACAAGCAGGCAGAGGGAGCTAGGAAGTACCCAGAAGGCACCACGCAGCATTTCAGCTTTGGTTTGTGATAGCATCTGAGAGGGAGGAGCGTCTACAACCAAGAGGCCTCAGAGTGGGTAGATGGAGGCTGCCCTGGGGCAGTGGAGGATAGGATAGCTCCTCCCAGTATCCCTTTCTTCTGGCTGGTGGGAGGGGAAGGGGCAGCCCAGCAGGAGGTCAAAGGCCCTGTCTAAACAGGTGGGGCTCTTGCAGGCCAGTCAATCACTGGGGTCTGTCAGCCTCTGGGTGAGTCTAGCTGGGAAGGTACCAGATGGCCACCCCTCACACCTACCCCCCAGGGTCAGGAAAGGGCTGTTTTTGGCTGATCATCCCCAGGGCTCTTGCTGGTCCCTTCCCAGCCCCTGCCCTTCCATTACCCAGGATTCCCTGCTGGCCTCTCACCACAGCAAGGATCTCACCCTTACTTACAAGGGTGTTGTCCTGGGACGGTTAAGGCCACAGTGATTCTCACAGCCCACTCTTCTTTCCAAAGAAGGGCCTGAGAAGGGAGGGTTCAAATGTGGCTGGGTAGCTAGCACTTCTCGAGGGCACCTGGTTCCAGGGGCAGGCAGATTGACACCCAGGCTGACTTTGTTGGAGTTGCATCTTTAGGGCTGAGGTGATGGTACAGGAAGAGCACTGATATTAAACCCCACTACCATTGAGTCAGCCTGGCTCATCGTGAACCCTCTCTAATGGCTTCTGAGGCTGTATAATTCTCCCAGTGTCAGCTGGTGGATTTGAACTGCCAGTGTTTCAGTTAGCAGCTCAATATGTAACACTGTATACTTCAGGGCTCTTTGGTCAGCCCTACAGGAGAATATAACTCCTTATCGAATGAGGATTTGAACAAAATCGAGAGAACCCTGGAGTCTGTTTTCCTTGACTATTTATTTAAAATTTCTTTAGCTATGAAACCTTTGTTTCAAATCACTTTTGTAAAATATCAATATAAATAATAACAATAATAATAGTAACAAAGCTGTTGTTAGTGCCATTGAGACAGGTGGTGGCTTCATGTGAAGTCCTTTGTCTGGGCCTCAACTCAGACCCCACATGAGAAGTGAGAATTCTTTCCTTGAAACACCATGTCCCTGAATGATAACACCAGCTAACAGGCCTTGATAATACCAATAGCCAACAATTTTTTAAAGTACTTCCTGTGTGCCAGGCCCTGTGCAATTTACAGGATTATCTAATTTAATCCTCAAGATAGATTCACAGTTTTTGCCAGGGTTCAGCGCTGCTGGTGGGGTTCTGAGCTGCATGCAGAGCAGAACTCTCCACACAGCTTACCAGGCTGTGAACTTTCAGGAGTCGATCGCCAGGGCCTGTCTTCCACCACTGTGCTGTCATTCCATCAACGAGGGATCTAAAGGGCAGGTGATTCAACTCACTGTTGTCTAGTTAGTGCTTACTCACAGCTGACCCTCCATGAGCCTGTAAATCAGAGAAGAGGGGGCTGCCCATCTTTCTCCCTCTGAGGCTGGTGAGTTTGAATCACTAGAGAGACTTAGCCTTTGTGTTAATGTTGTGATTTGCTATGGACTATACACCAGCAGAGCTCCCTAAAGTCTCAGCGTGCATTACATTCACTGTCACCCACGAGGAACAGACTAAGATCTCACATGGATATAAGCTCCATATATATGGATTTATATATGGATGTACAGACATAGAGACATGGAGATATATTGATATGGAGATATGCATATGAATATATAGATATATGGAGATATATTGATATGGAGATAGAGATATATGGAGATATATCGATATGAAGATATATATGGATCTATAGATATAGGTATATGGAGCTAGATTAATGGATATATATGGA